TAGTCACCCCGTCAAAGGCCACTAGGTCGGTCATGCAGGACTCACCCTTGGTGAAGCCATACTGGCTGTCTTAAATCACCTCCCTGTCCTCCATGTGCCTTAGCACAGCTTCTAGGAAGATCTGTTCCATGATCTTCCCAGGCACAGAGGTGAGGCTGACAGGGTGATAGTTCCCAGAGTCTTACTTTCTACCCTTTTTAAAAATGGGTACAATATTTCCCTTTTTTGAGTTGCCAAGGTCTTCACCTGACTGCCATGACTTTTCAAATATCATGGAGAGTGGCTCCATGTATGTATACGTACCTTATTTTAATGGATGATATTTAACTGCTGGTAGAATTACATTAGAAAATGTGGATCATTTTGGCAGATAGGAAATAGTAAGATTAAATTATTTTATCTTTCATTTTAATTGAAGTTCTGTAACTTTTGTACATAAGTCATGGCAAAGTATGATATATTTGAAGTAGAATAATTCCATATTATCCTTTCAAGGCTTTTTGGTCTGGTGTTAGATTATTGTGGTTGTGCTTGTTTTGTTTAGTTCCAGAATATGCTTGGAAGAGCAGCTCTGCTCTGCAGAATGGCAGCATAAAGGAACACTGAGAAGTTCCATCTCTGCTGTGACTCATTATTTCCTCTATCTTTTTTTTTTTTTTTCTGCAAAGACCTCCTCTTTATGCCTTTTCAAATAAATAAAATATTAGACAGTCCTAAAGTAACAGTTTTATTCTATAATGTCACCTAGTATCTAATCCTGGGAATGAATAAATTGTTTTGATGTGAAGGATCCTCCTAGGCAGTTTCTAAAAATAATTGCTGTTTTTCTTTTTTTCTTAGAGCATTGATATAGTTACATAAATTTGAGCATAAAAGTATTTCAAAGATTTCCAGAAGTCCAAAATAAAGCACACATTCCCAAGCTGTTTATATTCTTCTCAAACAGTGTTTAGCACAGTGGAGACCTATGATACAGTGGCAGTGCAGATGCTGTATTCATGATTACAGTACCTAACAAAGCTTCCTCCGAAGCAAGGTCATCGAAATCTGCACTGGAAGAGGCCTAGTACAGTGGCAGAAATAGTCATATAAAGAGCTTATACAATTCTCTCCTGTGTCTCACAATTGCTCTGAATATACGTTGTGTTTCCTCACTTAATTGTTGATCTTGTCTGTCCTACTGCATGGTCCTTAAATTGTGCGACTGTGATCACTAGAAAGGGGGGTGGAATCACTATGTTTTTGAAAGAGGGACTTTGGTATTAAGTGGTGAGATTCCACAATGGACAGTGGGAAAAGAGCAATGTTCAGGGCCAACGTTTGACTCAGGCAAACCAGGTATTTGCCTAAGGTGAGAGACCAATTAGGAGGATGATTTTATTGCCTCCATCCAAGAACTGAGATACAGAAATCTCCATTGGCCAGTAATGGAGAGCCATAGCATTGGTTCTTGTATGCACAGCCCATTCTGTACTGTTTTCTGGCCATGACCCCTCATGGGGCTGCAGGCTGCTAGAGCAGTGGCTCCTTCCTTGCCTCCTCCCTCCTGTGGGCAGTGATGTTGTGTTGTCTCTACAGTACATGACCTTCTGCCCTGGCAGCCGCAGATACAGGCATACCATGAGGGTAAGCACAGAAGCAAAGTGCCTAGGCTACCTATTGCCAAGGCTGTTGTGTCTTTGTACATTTAAATTCCCAGTGAAGATGCTACCTGGAAGAACCTGTCTCCTGCTGCTGCTATCCATCTGAATTTGGTTAAAATTGCTGAGAAATCTTCAGTTGTCTCTGATAATGCTGCTTTTTATGTAGTGATACTTGGCTCTTGATGTAACAGCAGTGAGACATTATTCAAAGATCACATCTCTGAACTCTAAATAGCTTAAGACTACTTTAAGTATTTGTGTAGTGGGAGACCTAGAGAACTGACTTACATAGATTCTTGCAGTAGAGTAACTCAAGAAAAACAACAAAATAGGATTTTATTGCCTGAACTATTTTTTTTCCTCAAAAAAGATCTAGCTGGAATCAGAACTCTTAAAACAAGTTTTAATAATTGTAGTGATTTATTCACCACATGGAAGTGTCTAGGCTGGGGGGCTCCTGTCCACTCAGAAATGTAGTTTCCTGTGGGAAGCAGTTTCAAGTAGATTCTCTATGAAGTTGCTACACTTAGTTTGCTTTGTATTTAAAAAGCATTCCAGTTGGAAACAGTGCAAGCAGAGACGACTGTGGTTGTATGTTGTCTTACCTGATATTACACTAGAAAAAAACAGTGGTATTGTTTTTAAAACACCACAGGCAGAGTGGGTATGACCCTGGTAGTTTTTACTCCCTCTGACCCAGATAAAGAACAAAAAAAGAACAGGCAAAGGTTAAATATGTACAATTTAACTGAAATAAATACAATTTTTTGCACATTCTAGTTAGGTGTGTTGCTGGTTTAAGGACAGTGTTTAAAGCCTTGTGCATAGAAACCTTAAACCATGTTTTTATAATTTAAAATGTGTTAGTTATCTGTAGCAAACTAGACCTAAATTTACAGTGTTGTTTCTGCAGCTTTTAAATTCAAATTTCAGAAGCATTTCCCGGTAGATTAAAAAATAAATATAGGTATTAGGTATACAAGAAAAAGCATAGTATAATCAGCTTCGTGTTCCTCTGGTGATTACTTTGATTCTATTTATCTTCAAAGCCAGGGGAAACTTCTGCAGCAGCACAGTAACTGGAGTCTGTATTTACCTTTACTCCTTTTCTTACATTCTCTGCCTGCATGGTCTGTGCCCTGGCTCCCATCATATGAGCTGATAGAAGTGGTCTGTCAGTTGTGCATATGGGAATGAGGCAGGCACACAAGGGTTTCCTTGATTAATGTATTTTTTTTTCTTGAAATAAAGGATTGCATAGTCTCCGACCCTTTTCCTCCTGTTTCATACATGAGGAATTTGTTAATCATTTTTAGTACTACTTTTTTGGACAGGGCATTGTATACGATTATCCAGAAGATTTAAATCACTGTTTGTATTACAGGTACCTTGAAATAGCCTTTGCTTTCATTTGGCATCTTTTCCTGTTGAAATTGTGACTTTTTAAAAAAACTCCTATTTGGTAATTATAGTATAGAGTCTTCACTTGTGAATTTGTAATATCAGAGGAATTAATAACTTTATTCTAATTATGGTGGTAGTTGGTATTTAGAGAAAGTATACACTGAAGTGCTTCTGTGAAATTGTTTACCATTGTTTTACTCTTTTAGTTAAGTTTGTGCAGCAAAGATTTTAAAAGCATTGTAATAAGCAAGCTGATTTTTTTCCCCCATCACAACTGAATCAGTCAACAGCCCCCTTTTTTTACTGTTCAATTAAGAGGACTTGTTTTACATTTTTGACATTGTTGTAATATGTATGTCATTTTTATTTTCCTGTGAAACTATTAAGTTATTAAGAGTACTTTGCATGACTGTAGAGTTTGGGATTACTTTGGTTTGTGTTTTGTGGTTTTTTTTGTTTGTTTGTTTTTGGTTTTTTTGTTGTTTTTTTTTTTTTTTTTTTTTTGGTTTTTTTTTTTTTTTTTTTTTTTTGGCTTAGTAGTCCACAAAAACTAATGGCAGTAGAAGTATGTAATAAAAGTTATTATTTTTTTTTCATTGGGTTGTGTTGCTTGCTCTTTATTATATCACCATCATTCAGATTCTTTTAGGACTTAAAGTCCACACAGGAGTAGGGCTGTGAGTATTCGTAGTTCCCAGTGTAGAAGGCGGCCAGGAATGTTCCCCTTGCAACTAATTTGCATTTGGAATATATGTTTTAAAGTGATGACTGCAGTGCAACTTAGACCCTTCAGAAATATATCGTTACAGAAAGAAATTACCTGTGAGAGAGAGCAAAGTGCTTCTGGCTTTTGCAAATTATCACTTCCACTTCAGGTGGAACAGACACCAGTTTCTCAAACCATCCAGTTAGAATATGCCTTCATGAGGGAATTTATGTGTGTAATCTAATTCCAGACACAGTTTTGCATTTCTGCCTTTGAGACTTTCTTTGAGTTAAATATATTATGTTGTCTTTTGTAAGTTATATTTAACATTTTGTGATTGTCTCATAAATTGATAGACATGGTTGTAAAGTGATGAAAGTCAAAATCAATGTGACTTAGCCAATACCAGCTCCTTTTCACTTTCCTTTTCATGCTGTTTTCTTTAGACAGGTAAAATACGCTCTTTGATATGGCATTACAAAGTAGTGAGATCTCTTGCACCCAAGAAAAGCCAGTATCTGGCATATGTGAAGGATGATTTATGACTGAAACTTGAGCTCAGAAAGTTGTCACCCAGCATGAATCAATAACCTTTTCTCCATGCTGAAAATAGCCCATGAAGCTTTGAGTAGTAATAGTGGTACTTTTATAAATTAATTTGAAAAAATCCATAGAGCTCTTTAGTGCTTGATTTTTCAAATTAAAAAAAGAACAGCCTTGCCTGTCACTGAAGGGAGTGGAATAAGTTCTTTAACTTGAACTTTGACATCTTGATTTATTAGTTTGTTGGATAATCCAGGTACAATATTGTTATGCTATTTATGCCGTATTTATGGTGCCCTGATTCATTCCAAGTTACTGAGTTTTACTCTTATTATTTTCTTTAGATGGAATTTAGCATTTACAGGTTCTTGAACCAAGGCTACTTCAGCAGTATCGAAACACTGTCATTTAATGTAATTTATTTTAACCTCATTTAATGCCCATTTGTAGTCAGTGAATTTCACTGAAATGATTGCCCTCTCTCTGGCTAACAATGCTTTAATGAGAATACGAATTCAATAATGATTCTCCAGGGGTTTTATATGTGGTAGCCTATTTTAAACCTGCATAATTAATTCATTATTGTAATTTGAGATGAGATATTTCAGATATCAAGCTCTTTTTGATGTTTACCATAGCTTTGCCTCTATATCAGGTTTAGGGAAGCTAGGAGGGAGTGCTGGGGGTAAGGAAGGGAGGGCAGGATGGAGGCCCAGCGGGCTCGCCCGGCCGACTCCCCTCGGGGTTGTGGGGGACACGTTGGGGAGCGGTGGCGCTGTCCTTGGTGCTGTAATCCCAGCCCGAGCGCTGTGAGACAAATTGGGCGGCAAGTTCCAGCTCTAGTGACTGTTTATATTAAGGGGAATTAAACAGATTAACGACCTAGTCAGGAAAAGAATGTTTTAAATTTAACTTACAGTCACAAGTCAGACAGAAAGTAACTTCATTACACCAACTAATTTAATAGATTAAGTTCTGTAGTAGAGATGAACTATAAGTTCTCAAAGGTTTTGAATTCCTTGTAGATGTTTTCATTTAAAATAAAAGTGGTTAATATCCTTCCTCGACAAATGTAGAATATGCAAATAAAGTGTTTTGTAAAGAATAGAAAAAAAACTGTCAGGAATTTGTGTTACGGGTATGGTTCAGAAGGTATAAGGTATCCTGAGCTTTCCAGGGGAAGTGTAACACATTGTAGCTCTTGTTGCCCTCTCATTTTCTGCTGTTACTTGTACTTGCCTCATGCATTTATATTATTTATAATTTCATAATCATTTTTCATAATTTGCAGGTTTTCTCTACTGTTTGGCAAGTAATGCGCGTCTTCTCTGCACTTTGCAACTTGAAATATTTTTTTTTCCATCCTATTAATGTAAATCTGTGTCAACTTTAATAGTCAGAGAATTTCTGTAGGTTATTCACGTATCATTAAAAGCAATGTTTCATTTGACCTAGCAATATCAGTATCTGCTATGATTTACCAGTGTCAGTTTCAGGAAGGATTGAAATGTTATGAATCAGACTTACTGTTCAGCACTGAACTGTTGTCAAGAGTACATAAAAAGAAATGAGGTGCATCCTATCAAATAATGTTTTTATATAGATTGAGTTCTAAGGAAGGTGGTTTGAGCAATATCAGCACAGTTTACTACATTTATTTTAATGAAAGGAGTTAAAAATGAACTTTGGATTTCTTAGAATAAAAAAGTATGATATAGTCTAGGTTATGAAGTTATTCAGCTGCTCTGGGGCAATGGTTATTATGCATGCTGTTATGGTAAAGGCAAAGTGACTTGCCCTTCAATGAAGAAAAAGTATCTCGTATTTAAAGCTACCTTTTCTTTACCATCTTTCCTGTAGAGAAGACAATATCTAGCTAATGACACAAGAGCTTACACCCTATTCAAGTGCTTTGTGCAAAGTTGCTTTTTTGTAGCATGTATCTTCTTTCCTGCCTATACAAAGTCTTGCTGCTCCATCCTTGACCCCAGTTTCTGGGCTTCTCTTTTTGTTTCCCCGTAGGGTTCCTCGATCCCTAGCCCTCCAGGCCCCAGCTCTTTCTCAGTCCCCCTTCAGATTGCTGTAATTTACTCTTTTGCTGAGACTTTGCTGCTGCCTTCTTGACTTTTATCCCTCAAGTGCTATCACTGTCTTTTTTACCTTCACGCCTTCTATTGCTACTGTACCCATTCATTCATATGGAAGTCAGAGACAATTCCAGGATCCTTTTTATTTCCTTTGGTAAACAAATTGCACAAAACCAAATTGTTTTTATTTAGGATTTCTTCCCTTCTATCTCTTTTCCATTTTTTCATCTTACATGACCATTCCAAGACCGATAGCTCCCCTTTGAAAGAACAGAGAAAGAAAATAGTGGATGGACAGTCACGTAACAGAAAACTACTTCACCCATGACAAACCATTCATTTAAGTTCACAATGGGAGGCTTTTTAGATGTTTAAAACTACACTGATCCAACCAAGGTGGTATGATATGTAATCCAAAGTTAGACTCAAAAGAGTACTCAGACTGAGAAACTGGTGACAGTTTCTGGTTTTCCAGTCTGAGAAAGAACTTAATCCCTGAAAAGTAACAAGATACCAACTTAAAAATCAAAGGCTTAAATTAATCAGAATATTTGCTCCAACCTAGTTTCTCATATATTTAATGACTTGAAAAGTGCTGAATAAAATTATTAAATTTTAATTTAAGCAAGTGCAAGATTTCCAAATATCTTTTTGTCAGCGAAGTTCATATTGAAATATGCCAGGATATAAGCAGAATGTTTAAACTTCCAAAAACCCCACAAAAATCAAACAAAACCACCCCACTCAAACCCCCTAAACAAACAGCTTGCCACCCCAACCCAAACAAACCAACCAGGGTGACGTCAGATCTCTTATTGTTTAGGGGTTACAACATAAACCCAGTCTGTTAGTTGCAGAACAAAAATTTGAACAAATACCTAAAGAGAAGAGTGTCAGAACAGAGAAGCGGCTGAATGCAAGACTGTTTAGCATTTGCATTTTACTAGACTAATGAAGGTAAATTTCAATAAAAAATATGATTGGCTTTGAATTTCATTCCCTTCTGTGAGAAAGAGATATGAGAGACTTAAAAATACCTGTCAGCTGCTCCTAGCACCACAACCATTTCGGCAAATGACAAAGATAATATGCAGAGAAAATACTGGATATAAGGTAAAGGGGAGGATTTCATACATGTTTATGTATGCACCTATAACTTCTTTTTAGTACAGGGAGCATGTGCCATTTTCTATTTATACATGCATCATGAATATTCAGTGTAAGTGGTTCTGTAATTGTCTTAAGGAATATTTATTTTGTATTTTGACTATTTTTTTTCCCCTGTATAATTTGTCTTCATTAATTTGTAATATCTGGGAATGTTTAATTCCTTAATACTTTTTAGCATATTCCAAGATGAATTTTAGCACATCTGTAGTTTCATGTATTGTTAACAGCACTGAGGAGTATATTCTAACTCACTATTTCTTTTGGTTTTGAACCGTCTCTTTCAATGCTGGGTTCTTCTCTGTGCTAAGCATTCAGTCCCTCTGTATTATATCCTATACCTATGTGTTCCTCAAAAAATTGCTTCTAACAAACAATGGGAAATGCCTACAATTTCAATTTTAATATTCTCTAAAGTTCTGCCTCTGGCTATTTTTGGCAGTGCCTGATCTTGGCTGAAGATCACAATATTTACTCAATCTATAAGCTCTTCCAGGATCCATAAAACTAGGCCATTCTTTGACAGTTTTCCCTGACATGCTGGATCTTATAAGCATAGTGAAAGCACTTCTTTCCCTAAGTAACTCCTTTATTAATTTTCCCAAAGGAAAGGCCTAGGTTTTTAAATTCTGGCAGTGTCTTAGGGCAGAAATGAAGGTGTAGGCTGGAAGCAGTCCATTGAATGGCTGCCTAAATCTAGAGTGGCAGTGCTTAATATCCACCACACTCCTCAACGCTTACTTTGAAGAGAAGCCAGGTTACCTAACTTGGGGCTTTTGGTGAACAAAAAATCTAAACCATTTTGTAGATCCAATATATATGACTTATATGTGCTTAGATAAATGGATTAAAAAACCTCAACTTTTTTTAGGCTCATTTGACTTTTTAATAAACTTTTTATTTCTGGATATGTGCAGAAACTAGAGGGGTCCCTACATATTAAAATTTAGAAATAGGAAGCTGTTAATGTCTGAGCTGTTTGAAGAATGTATGATTGTGATTGTGATAATTGAGGTGCTATGGTAATAAAATACAATGCCAAATAGGTGACTTTTCATAATTCAATGTAATAAGTTTCATGGTTATTTTGGTAGTATAAGCTCTGAGAAAACACCACCTTTCTTGTGAGGCATATGCAGTGATCAAAAATCTTTATAATTTGATTTTTTTTTTTTCGTTAGAACCTAAAATATTGTTGTTATCAGGTTATTGCTCCCTCCATGCCCCAGATTCTTTATCCTTAAAACACTAAAGAAGATGTCTAAGCAAACACTGTATAAATCTCACTGCTTTTAATATCACAATAATGGATGCTAAAGACAGTGAAAAAGAAATTTGTTTGAGTAATTAGGTGTGAAGTTTTAATTGAGGAGAGCTTCTTTTGAATATGATAACCTTTGAATCTGACAGTTGCAATAATTGTTTTGGTGGTCTTATTTTAAAATGAGAGATGTAGTTAAATGAACAAATAAATGTGAATTCTTACAACAGAGCTGAGCATCTAGTCTCTGCCTTTGTTTGGTTTTCAGAACTGTCCACTATGAAGGTGGTGCTGTGTCAATTCATGCTCGTTCCCTTTGGCGACTAGAGACTCTAAGAGTTGCGTAAGTAAAATCTCTCTTGGAAAAAGAAGTCAGTTTGGCAGGATGCTTTTTCTATAGGAAGAGTATTCCCATAAAATCAGATTGATAACTGTAAAACCAGACAGATGATACTAAAATAATCTTCAAAATATGCTCTATAACACTTTGATGAAAAAATCAACACCTTCCCATAAAGAGTGAGTATTAGCACACACATTGTATATGTTTTTGGTTATTTTTTGAAGCTATTATAGATTTGTGAATTGTGTGAGTTCACGATTTACATTTTTTACACATATATGTGACATTTTTAAGGAAAACAGTTCTGATTATAATAATTCATGTGTGCCATGCCCTAACTTGTTTAAACCATTCAGATGTCCTTGAAAGCAAAACTTTACAGAAAAAAAGCTACCTTGCATGAGTGTTGGAATGATAGTATGGAATTGTGCCTTGTTTGTGAAAGTAATCGCACTGTAAAATTTCACTTAAATTGTATTACGATATATGCTTGTGATAAAATTTCTAGTGCCTAATAAATGATTGCTTTTTAGAGATTAAATCAGGACAGCTTCGGGAAAGGTTACACTCTTATGATTCTGTTTTCTATTTGTGCAGTTTATTTAATAGGATGATGTTAAATGTCATTGATATTGCAGCGAGACTTTTGCTTTGGACTAACATTGACCTTGAGAGTGCTTAAGTGAGAACAGTGAAACTTTGGAAAGATTTCTGGCTTTTTATTTTCCTCATTGCATGTACTTCCTAATAAGCAGTGGTACTGGAGCAGTGTGGGGATTTCAGAAATTACAGGTTTCTGTTACAACTGTCACTAGTCTCACTTTGACAGGCATTGCATGCAAACTTTTGAAGTGTAAACATGTGAACATATATGACTGAGAGAAATCTTGAGAACTGTCAAAACAACTAAGCAAAGGTAGCGGTAATCTTTCTTTTTAAGGAACATGACTTTCTTATCAGGAAAAAAGCTCCAAATAAAATCCCAAGAATAAAGCACTGTCCTATAAAACCCCTTACCTCCCTGTTTTCCTGTTAGTTATTTACATTCATGGCTGAATTGCAGGCACATTGTTATTCATGCAAATGCTTCAATTCGTAACTTAGTATATGCATACCTGCAGTTCTCCATAAATTCTAGTCCTTCCCAGAATGAGTGCAGATACAATATTAATTCTGTTAATTTTATATGATTCTTAAGGAATCATTATTTCTGAACTCTCCCCATTAGTGCAGAACTCTCATAAAAATTGCCTGGGCAATCTATGTGTGCAGACTGCCTCTTGGGGTGCCTTGACATGGGATGGCAGATATTATTGCTCGGTGTTGCTTTCTTTCCCAAAAGGTGACAGGGATCATATTCTCACATTGCAGAAAAGAATTTTTAGTAGTCAGAAATGGCTTTACAAGATAGTTTCTGATCAAAAGGCTTTTCTAGTAAGTGCACATAAATTGCCCTTTTTCCTGTCCTGCAGGCATGCACTAGGGGCATGGCTCAATTGCACTACATTTATTGTTTTCTTTTTCTTATGGTCCATAGCTATTGGATCCAAGAGAAAATTGAATCAGACAAGAGAAAAGGCAGCTCCGCAGCATGGCCCATAATATGAAAGGGGGAGAGCTGATGTGTTTTACCAGATCCAGCAGCACAATAGCTGTGATTCATGACCTGACATTTTACTTAATTGAGAAGCAGAAGTTGTGCTAGAACACTGGTACTTAGACGTGCTTTTGTGGAGTACACTGATTTTGCTGTGCAGAAGATGGAAAAAAAGAAATGCAATTCTAAAATATAAAGCTCCCGTATTTCCTTCCTCCCCAAAGCCATTTCCCCTTGACTTAAACAGAAGAAACAAAAGTTTACAAAAGAACATAGTTGAGGGGAAAACCTCTTCATTCTTTTGGCCTCCTTAAAACAAATAACTAAAAAGTTTTGTAAGTTTAATTAGTGAAGTGTAATAAATCTTGTTACAAAACAGAAACCAGATACTGCTCTTGCATTTTAAAAACTCCTGGACTGTATGCCAAATTAGTTTTACATACTTTGCATACGGTATGGCCAACTCTTATGAAGACATGCTTAAACAAATGGTTGTTTGTATTGAATAGGTAAGTGCTTTAATCTGCTACGTGTATACAACAGGGAAATTGAAAATGACTTAAACCTGTGTAAGTGCTAGCTTAAGGGATTTTCAGACTAGTACATGAATATATACAAAACATATGCATAAAAACTTTTTATGTTTTTAAATGTTGTACCTAGAATTACTTTAAATGCAAATGAAAACATACAGTAATACAAAATTCTGATATGGTGTATTGGGTCTGGCTGGAATGGAGTTGATTTTCCCCACAGCAGCCCTCAGAGTGCTGTGTTTTTGTATTAGTGGCTCGAGGGGTGTTGATAACACACCAGTGTTTTGGTTACTGGTGAGCAGTGCTAGCACAGCACCAAGGCTGGCTTTCCAACATTTCCCCCCAGTAGGCTGAGGGTGGGGAAGGTCTTGGGAGGGGACATAGCCAGGACATATGGGAATAAGTTTATAATCAGGTTAAGTCATAAGGATGTGTTTGTGTATTTCATTTATATTATGTGAATATTTGTCAATAATTTTAGGCCATTTCAAGCCACATTAAACAGAGAATTATTAGTATTTGTGGAAGCACATGAGGACCTTGGCAGTCTGTCATAACTCCATTATGAGGGACATTTTGCAAACACAAAATAAATATATGATTTCCTCTCCAAAAAGCAGTATGCACATAGACCTAAAATGTAAACTCTTGAAGATATAAGACTGAAGAAACTTTTGTGGAGGTCCAGGAAGACATCCTACTTGTAGCAATTTTCCAATCTAAAAATATTTGAGAAACTTTTTGAAAAGGCTTTATGAAGTGCATCCTCCTTAGTAACTGCTGCATAGGTTTGTCTTCAGGAGTTAATCAGGAAGAACATAAGAGGTGACTTTTTTAGGCAAGAAGTTAGAAACTTGCAACTTATATTTCAACTTGAGGAGTTCTTGGGGAATGTAGATAGAAATTCTTTGCCTTTCTTCCTTCATTTCCTTCTATAGAATATAAAAAGCCTGGGCCAGTTTTTACTTAATAATTTTACAAAATTGTTTTATGAGGCTATTTATTTATTTATTTTGCTATTTTATCTTTTGCACACTATTCAAAGTCTGCCTAAATTGTGCTGACTGAAGAAAGGAGAGTGCTCTGGAAGAGTGAAGAAACCCAGCTGCTGGTAGATTTAATGTTGGAGAGGGAACTGGCAGATCTAAGCTCTTTGTGTACAGCAGAAGCCTCCTTTTCTGTAGGCGGTCGGTACCTCCTCTTGACAGAATTCAGTCTGAATCAAGGCAACCTACGCAAAGAAGGGGGTTAAGATTATTTATTAGAATGGTTTTATAGGCGATAACCACAAAGTAACCATTTTCTTGCTGATAATCCAACATTTGGATTTTTATCCTTTTACTAATTAGTTAGCAATTTAATGTACTTTAAAATATTTTTGCCAGTAGTTAAAATCTATGTTTTATTTTAAAAAACCAAATGTTTCCTGTGAACTTTCTTAGGTGGAGCGGCAGCCACATTAGATGGGGACAGCCATTCAGACTCAGACATATAACAACAGGAAAATATTTAAGTCTCCTGGATGACAGGAGTCTTCTTCTTACAGACAAAGAAGAAGCGGATGTAAAATCTACGGCATTCTGTTTTCGGTCTTCCAAGGTATGGAATCAATGCAGCATTAATATAACTAGTAGTAATTCCAATCTCTTTAGTAAGCAAGATTTAGATATTTCCTATTGCATGAATTATTGGAGCCTTCTACCTTTTCACTGATCAAAAAAATGCCCTCAGTAGAATTCATATCTAGAAAGCTTCTTTTATCATACCTTCGTTGGGTAATTCTGCCAGGCTGTTTATTTATGTGGGGTTTTTTTTGTTTTATTTTACTACTTGCTCATTTTTGAACAGTTTCCTCATTTTTTAATCTGTTTTTCTGATGAACTTCATTGGTACTTCACTGCTTATATCTGTTGGCTGACATAGGAAAAAAATACAGTATTGTGAATTACTGAAAATAAATTGGAAAATTAGGATTTGTTTCATCAGTTACTTTACTGTAGTCTAATTTAAAGTTATCATACTTTGAATTTTCATTTGACACCTTCAATAAGCATTTCCAGTTCAGAACAGTACTTTTTATAGTGGGTAAATAGTTTAAAATGATACTATGATAAATTCTTTAATACCTTTTGATTACTTGTACTTTTCAGCTGCAGCATAATGTTGCTAAAAAATTTCCAACAGTAGTGTTGGTTTTTTTTAAGAAAATGTTTTCTAAAATATATACTAAACATTATCAGAATTATTCAATAACTTCTCTGTAGCAATTACTTTATAGATTTTTAATTATTTATGTATTTGGGAAGACAAGAAATTCATATATATACCTAAAAGCAGCTGTACAGATTTTTGCACTCTGATAACAAAGACTTTAGTTCAGGTAATATTTTTGGGACCCAGACAATGTTTTTTTTTTAAAACCAGTTAGAAAAGCCATAAAAATACTTAAATATTTTAAGACAATGCAGTGTAACTATATTGGGGAAGTTCCTGTTGCAGTTAATATAGATCTCAACAGTTACTCTCTTTTGAGAGAGATAACATAATTACAGAATCACAGAATGTTAGGGATTGGAAGGGACCTCAAAAGATCATCTAGTCCAATCCCCCTGCTGGAGCGGGAAAGCCTTGAAGAGATTACACAGGAAAGCGTCCAGATGGGTTTCGAATGTCTCCAGAGGAGACTCCACAACCTCCCTGGGCAGCCTGTTCCAGTGCTCTGGCACCCTCACCATAGAGAAGTTTCTTCTCAAGTTTAAGGGGAACCTCCTGTGTTCCAGCTTACACCCATTGTTCCTTGTCTTATCATTGGTTGTCACCGAGAAGAGTCTAGTTCCAGTGAATTCATTCACTGATTCTCAAGGTGGAATATTTAGTTGGAGTTACTCAGAAAAGAGTGGAACAATATACTGCACTCTACTGTTACACGGATTATATAGTCCAAAAAATAATGGAAGGCAAGAATTGTTAGCAATACAGAGAATATCTTTTGTTGGATTTTCAAAGGAATTGGAAGTTTGAAAGATTGTATTTGATGTTAATTTTGTGGGTATCAACATTCATTTTAACTAAAGACTTATTTGGAACGAATTATGGAGTTGCCACAGGGGAGAAATATATAGTTTACTCTTCATTGCTGAGGATGAATCCAGTCTTCTGCTGAAGACTTCTTAAAGGAGCGTTATGTTTCACTTTATTAGGATACAAGCATTAAAAATTTTTAGGTGCCTTTCCTCTCTGAAAGAGAGCATTAAATATATGCGTTATATGTAATTCCAAATTATAGGAATACTAGACAGACTTCTGTAGAGAAGGTAAGCAGCTTTAGGGGTCTCTTTTCCTCCGAACATGTATGGATATCAGCCTTTCACTTGTGTTGTTGCATGTAGTTAGCCCAAAATAATTATTCCTGGATAAGAGGCAGCCCCTAATCTTCTCTACGTAATACAGAGCATTAATAGTGGGAGTATGTCACATGGATAGATCTTTCTTATAGCAATTTCAGTCTTTTTTTTTTCAAAGTCATAATTCTTTCACTACCTAAAAGTAGAAGGAAGAAATATGAAGATCCCACTTTTTGCACTTTAGATAAGTTAGCTTTAAATAAACAAAACCAAATATGGGGAAAGAATACCCTTATTTGCAGTGTTAAAGATTCAGTTCTTTCAGGCATGTGAGTAGATGATAATTTCAATTTCCAAATGAAAAGCAGCTTTCATGTTTGCAGAGGAAGTATTGAAAATGTATTCCCTGTAAATCTGAAGATTCAGAGACAAATATAAATGCTCAACATTTATTGTTGTTTTTAACCTTATTTGCAAGCACCTTACTCATAATTTTAAACGCATTAGCTTGCCAGTACTGCATTTAAAAAAAGAAGGTGAAGAGAACCAGAAAGCCGAAGTTTTTTATAAGATGTCACATATGAACCAGGATACTTATCTCAGATGGTCAAAGTAACACACACACACACACACACACACACACACATTTTTTTTTTTTTAATTTTTTATTTTTTTGCAAAAGACAACATTCTGGTACAGAAGTTGAAAAATTAGACAAGAGTTTTCTTGTGTGTTAAAATTCTTTAAATATCTCAGCAAAATAAAGAAATGTGAAAGCTTAAAAACATCACAAGCCAAAAAGGACTCAGACAATGTAGATACTCTGAAGAGCTAACAATCTCTTCATTTTTTTTTTTTTCTAGGAGTTGGGCTATATACTCTAGTTATTATATATTACCCTAATAATTATCATTAAATGAGAATTATATTAGCCCTTCAAGCACCTCAAATTCAGAAAATTCTTCTTTTTTTTCTTATAGTCTCACTTAACTCAGCACAGGATGTCCACAGATATCTACAATTTATTCCCCAAATATATGGCTCTTTTGTAAACTTTGTAGTGATTAAGTTCTATAGATTCTTTTTTCTCTCACATTTGTTAAACATGATTCTTGATTCTTTTTGATAACGGATTAATATCACTTTTCCACTGTAATAAGGTAACTTCCCTAATTTAGAAATGTTTATACATTCTGTATAATGTCTACCTTTCCTGTCCACAGTCTTTTCCAGTGGACAGAAATACTTAAAATCTAATAAAATTTTATGGCCTGTAGTTTTATATCTTCACCTGATTCTTAATAAAATTTGATAGGAAATATATTAATATCAGCTTAAAAAGCTGTCACTAATTACGTTCTTCTTTCTAGTCAGTGAGATCTGCTGGGATGTCAGTCCTGAAAATGTGCCACAGAAGGTTGGGTCAGATGAAAGGAGATAAAATATAGGTTGGGTCAGATGAAAAGAGATAAAATGGAAAGCATGGACCCTAATCATGGGAATCTTTTTTGGAATGTTATAAACAAAAGCATTAGAGTGAAATAACATACTTAAGGCTAGGCTTCATAGGATAATTTATTTCAACATTAAGGTAAAACCATTTAAAATTATGTTGTCCATTTAGCCCACAAAAATGTGGGAAGATTGGCTTGTATTCTTGTATGCATGGAAAAAAACCTCTGTTTATAATAAGCAGGTCCTTCTGGAGAAAATCTGTCATATTTTTCAATAAACCTGTTCATTTCCAATGCATTCTTGTTTCTTTGCATTACTGAGGTGGTTTACAGACTGTTGCAAAAATCAATTGTTTCTGTTTGTTCCAGTATAATGAATCAAGACTTTTGATCTGTGTTTAGAAAAAGCTGATGTTTTGAGAATGGGCCTAGACTGAAAATAAAGCTGAAGCTTTTCTTTGTAGATATTTTGTAGGAAGTAACAGATGGTTATTTAATGACAGGTTATGGTAAGAGTGTAGTGGGCTGGAAATTTGCATCATGTAGTGTCTATACCAATATGCAATTATTAAACGATGAGATGATGATTTCTGATGTTTTTCAGATCATGGTTTTCACTAATGAACTATTTTTAAGTAGATAAAGAGGTGAATTCATTAAATATACTTTCTCAACTACCTGCTTTTTACTGGCATGAATCCAACACTCCATTCAAATCTTCTCCTTTACAAACAATTTGTGATTCCTATTCACACCCCAAAAAAACTCAATGCCTTGAAGTTTCCAAATGAATGCTCTAATGCCTGTACCCACACACCCTGCCCTAGTTTTCCATCTTCTGTCCTATATTCAATCCAACTTTCACAATATATTCTCCTGTCTGCTATGTTTATTTGCAAGAAAGAGCTCAACTGAATGTGACTGAATTCAGTCTGAGCTCTAAACTTACATGCAGATTTGTCAGTGTACTTACACAGGTGAGGACAGAGGTCTTGTTTGGCAAATTGTTGTTGGCACTGCAATTTTTATGCTAATTAAATTTAATGTTAATTCGAATTGGAATTAAGATTGCAATATCAAACCCTTTAAATTTCCACTATAGTCAGTAGGATTTAAAGAAAATATGGAATAATATTTTAAGTTAATAATCCCTTATTTTACTAGCAGTGCTTCATGAGAAAATTTGTGAGTTCATATAATCATGTCTGAAGAAGTTGATTGTGAGGAGGAAGACTTGGAAAAAAAGAAAATCTTACAATGCAGAAGCACAGTGTGTTCACACTGTATTCTAGTTCTGAAGATAATTCCAAAGACTAGAGCTTGAAATCAGGCTGTCATTTCTTCATATGATAGCAGGACCTAATTTATTTTTTCCTGTATCACGATTTCTGTGCAATGTCCTATTATAAGTAGCTTTTCAATTTTCACTTGTTATTACATTCAAGTTGATTGTGCTAGCTTTTGAATTGAATACAACTTTTAGAGAAATGTTATGAACATAAACTAACAGATGTATTAATAAATCAATTATTACCTTGTTTCAATGGACAAGATTTTACTAAGAATTTCAGCACTTAAGGATTCAGACATCTACAAGATAGTGAAATTAACATCTGTATCCAGAAACAATTTAATGATAATTACACCTGAAATTACAATTGCAAATAATAATATTTTTCAGGATACTAAATTTCCTCTCATGAAGCAACTGCTGTCTGTGTAGGACACCAGCTGGACTGATGCATGGTCATGCCATTCTTTTACAGCATGTCAACAGGCCAGTCACAAACACACAGAAATGGATTTCTTTTCTCAGGAAATGCCGAGCCCACTGTTGGGCAGTAATGGGTGGTGACAAATTAAAGACCATCTCTCTGTGACAGTCAGAAATAAATTGTAGGGAGGTGCTCATCTTTTCCAGGCTGGAAAAAAAACAAAATCCCCACGAAAAAGCTTGTGGAGGTTGTTGCCTGGTTCTACTAGGGAATTCAAAGTATTTGGTGTTACTTTTATTTTTCAGTAATGATATATATGGTCAATTATGATCCTAGTTCTTTCCTAGGCAGGTGATATGAATACACCTAGCTTTCCAAGTGTAGTAAGTAGGGTTTTTATGTGGATGGAATCTCTCTCTCCATCTTTTCCCTAAATATTTAACGAGAATTTATACTTTTGCCTGTTCTTAATACTGTAATTAAAAAAGAATCTCAAATATTCTTTTAGGTCCTGTTCTGGACAATTGCCTAATATTTAATATTTTATGCAAATATTAACATGCTGGTTATTGTTCTTGTATACATTTTTTTTTTCTTCTTCAGGAAAAGCTGGACATAGGGACAAGAAAAGAGGTGGATGGAATGGGAGCACCTGAAATAAAATATGGAGATTCAATATGCTTCATACAACACGTAGATACAGGCTTATGGCTCACATACCAGTCTGCTGATGCAAAGTCCGTACGAATGGGTTCTCTGCAGCGGAAGGTAAGACCGTAAAAAGGAATGCACTGCATTCAGTCACAGGCTGAGAGGGCAGAGGGGGGAAATGAAAGGAACTAAAGGAGCAGCTAATATCTAGCTTTCAAATATTTCAAGCATGTCTTTGTTTCATTGTGAAAGGTTTGGGTTTTTTTAGTCACATTTTGAAAAGTTACATGATGTACGGAATTCTTTAACTGAAAGCCAAATGGAGTGCACATGTTAGCCTATAGACATTAACCCACACAAACATTAATAAATCTGGATATACTTGATATCAAACTAAAATATTAATAATAGCCCGTAGAGTATGCTAAAATTCCATTCTTCAATGTGCTGCAGTTTGGATTGAGAAGGCTTTTAGTTCCAAGTCTTTCCTTTCCATGCTGTGAGCATATTACCTTTTGGGCTGGAATGTTCAGGTCTTGAACCTTGAGGGATTTCTTCTTTTAAAGAATAACCATGACCAAGAAGAATGCTAGCTCAGCATAATAAATTAGAAAAAGATTCTTTTACAACTTAACACATCTTCCAGAAGGTACATTTGTGTTGATGTTTATTGTAAATGTTGTAACTTTGCAGGAAATTATTTCTCAGCAGGGAAAAAAATGTTTTAGCTTTCTTTTATAAACTATCATACTGTAATGTTTATCCACACTGTAGTATTTTCTATGGCTGTTTTATATGCCAGAACTACAAAGCTAGAGCAACACTGGTACACTTGGAAGGTCATGCCTTACAATTTTATATATATGTAAAAAAATGGTGTGTATCATATATGTCTACATATATATACACACATATATTCTATAAATATTTTATATAAAAATAACATATTTATGAAACTGTTTATATACATTTAAAATTTTGGTGGCTATAATACTAATATAAATAATCGTAGTAGTTAAATAATTCTAAAATAATTCAAAATAAGATACATTACTGAATAATTTAATAATGTAAGTAATAGTAATAGCTTGTGTGTGTGTATGAAAAAGCATTGTTAACGAAAATCGTTTAAAAATGTATGTAGATTGAACTGAATGCCTTCAGAGCCATGATAACTAAACATGAAAAACTGTAAGTTATTGGTAGTGACTCATGGCACAATCAGAAAAGAAGGCCAGTAACATCGTTGGAAATCACGACCAGTAAAGAATATCTGTTTTGACCTTGTTTGTACTTCAGGGATCTGCTGCTGTGTAAGGGAATTATTTTTAAGGTTGACAAAAACAAACAACAAACAAAAACCCTTAGACTTTTATTTTATTTTATTTTATTTTATTTTATTTTGTTTTATTTTGTTTTATTTTGTTTTATTTTGTTTAAATAAAGTATATTGTTAACAGAAGCTGTGGCTTTGAGGTTATTATGGAACTGAATCTACTGGCTCAGTACAAGTGTGTCCTTGGACACAGGGAAGTAAAACATGGGGTTATCTGGTTTTTATTATATTCTTTTTTTTTTTTTTTTAAGTGACTTCATAATTTCCTAGCCTGCCTTACTGTGTGAGTTTTCATACTTCTTAATTGTGAATAATGTTTCATTTTGCAGTGACTGCTTTTTATTTTTGCATTGCAGGCAATAATGCACCATGAAGGTCACATGGATGATGGTTTAACTTTGTCCAGATCTCAGAACGAAGAATCTCGTACAGCACGTGTCATACGTAGTACAGTCTTCCTTTTCAACAGGTTCATAAGGTATGCTTTTAAAACTATCTTTTAATCTCTTTTTTTTTTTCCTCTTTTATTTTATTCAAAGTGGTCATTAACAAAACAGTGAACAATTTAGCCCTCAGAAAAAGCAGATTAATAATTTTAAACTAGACTTTATGCCAGTTCTTTATTGGCAGAGATGTACCTTGACAGGTATTGGTCAGTTCTCTTATCTCCTAATAATACTTTATTGTTCAATCTTGATTTGAATGCATAAACATACTGAAAATGCAAACAAATCATAAAAGAGAGATTTTTCCCTTGCCAAAATTTGCTGTAAGTCATGTGGTGCATCATTTATCTCTTTCTTTTCTAAGTATGGCTTTTAAAAGTGCTCTTCCTTGAAAAACCTGGAAGGAGGAGATAACTGTAACTACAAACTTGTACAAGACACAAATATACTGAAGATGTTCATAGTCTCAAGAAAAAGTTTTTCTTACAAGTATGAAATTCCATCTTCTTTCTGCTGTCCCTTTACACTTGTCTTATCTGTTCCCTTTTAACGATACTGGTTTCTTTAATATTTAGCAACATATAAAATGTTTTATTTTATAATATTTTAGCCATTTAAAAATTCTGACAGATTTATGCAATTTGCATTTATCTTCCTACTCCAAATGTCCTTCTAAATAACACTGATAAAATGCTAATCCTCAAATGATTGTGACTTCAGTAACTGATGAAAGGCCCCTCTCGTCAGTGTAGCTGGCGTTAGAGAAAGGATGATATGCAATAAGACTATATGGAATGATAAGAATTTCATAGTTATTCATTTTTCACAAGAGAAGACAACGTGGGAGATGGTGTCCTAAAGCAACCACGTTCTGAATCAGTGCACAGCCGAAAACATAGGCATGTCAATTTCTTGAAAAACATTTACACAGGTACTTAAATAACAACAGGGAAAAATTCCTGTCAGGAGAATTGCCTACTGTATGACATTTAAAATCCAAAATAAATGCAAGCCCTAGGTCACTGTAAATAATACATTTTCTTAGAAACTTCTAAGAATGCTGTAAATGATGAGAACAGAGAAAAGCAATTTAATGATAAGTTTTCACAAATCAAGGTACTGCTAAATTACAGTAGAGATTTTTGCAGAGTGCACAGGGAGTCCAAGGTAGTGTTTAACAATTTAGTTTTGTCAGGATGTTACTCGAAGAAAAAGCACAATTGGAGAGGATCAAAATTATTCTCATACGTGTGTGCTCCAGCTATTTCCCATGAAGTCAGTAGAAAAATTGTACTTCAGATAAGGTGCTCATAATAAAAATTAAGTTTTAAAGATAACTTATGTAACTATCTTTTTGAAACATTGCATTATTTTTACTTCAGCAGTAAATATTCCTATTGAATTAATAACGTTTCCTAAATTTAGAAGTTTTCCAGCCATAGTTCAACATTTGAGATGAAAATACAGAGTGACGTGCCAGTTAAGCAAAACAAAACAACCAACCAACCAACAATTGCACCACCCCTGCCCCAAATACTTTTCATTGCCATCTTAATCCAGCAAAAAGCAGAGTATAAAATGGGTCTTCTGCTCCATATTGTGGCCTGGAGAGGAATCCTGGGAACAAGCAGGGTGCTATGCAGCTTAGGAGAGAGGACTGATGAGGATGGTTGTGGGCCAGGTTGCCGGGGATCTTTGATGCCTCTAATGAAAGAAAGAGGGAGATGAGTGCAGGGCTGGGAGGATGCCCATGTGGACATGGTGGACTTCTCTGCCAGCTGAAGCTCGGTGGTCTTTTGGTCGGCATAAATGGTGCACTGGTGAACACAAAAAGGACATCTTTGCTACATAGCTGGGTTTTACTCAAAAATATGCTAGCAAAAAACCCATTTACAATGGCAAAACTGAGAATGAGTCAAAAGAGAAATCATGAGTGTCAAATAATCCTCCTCATTGTGCTCTCCCCTGCTGCATGCCACCAGAGTGGACCCTTCCCTTCGGGACTTCTCCTCTCCCAGCACTTCAGGACCCTGGCTGGCTCCTGCAGAGTTTCAGGATCCTCTGGATCTTTCCCTCTCCCTGAAGATGGGCGCTATGTTTGCAGGCCCTCAGCACCCCTGGTTTCTCTGCCCCTCGTATCCCTAGTCCTTCCTGAATGTTCTGGTGGACCTTCTTCAGCCCCTGGCTGAGGCAGCCCCGCTGCCCACAACCGTCATCCTGAGGGGAGCCAAGGTGGTGCAAGGGAAAAGTCCTCGCCTTCCACTTTCAGTGTGGCACTGGTGGGGTCTCAGTTGCAACAGTCACATTTCAAGAAAGATGAGGTTTAAATGGAGAAGGTATATCAGGGGTCCAGACAGCACAGTGCTGAGGAAAAATTGGATTATGGGATTTGTTGGGGATTCAGCTAAGCAAGGGGCAGGTGCAACATGGATGATTACAGTTTGCCCCCCACTTCCAGGAGATTATGATGATAGACTTCAGTAAGGCCAAGCTTGAATTGTATATCAAGGAAACAAAAAGGCTAATGAAATGCTAGGACAGAATGTATGGAAAAGCAGCAACTTCTAGCACCAAAGCTGGCTTAAGAACAGGTTGGAAATGTGCTTGAGAGCCTGTAGGTTCTAGCTGGGGCCTCTTAGGCACTGTAGGACTGATTATTTGACTTCTGTCCATTCCAGCCTCTCATGATGCTTTGAACAGGTTTGCAATAACTTCTCTTCATCTTTTGGTCTGCCTTGGATACTGCTAAATGTGTAGGTAGAGCATTAAAATGTGTTCTCTGTATTTCAAAAAAGTCTAAGAGAAACATTGTTGATGCTTCCAGTTTATGTTTGGAAAGGGAGGGGTAGATCCTTAAGTGGAGAATGGGGCAGACATAAATCATTTTTGGGAAGCTGTATTGCTATCAGAAAATGAATTGAGCTTTTGTATCTAAACAAACTTTGCTTTTAAATCAAGAAAGAGTTTAAACAATAAAATATATTCCACTACTCAGGAGGCTTTGCATCTTCTTGTAGGGGCCTTGATGCTCTCAGCAAGAAAATAAAGTCTTCCACCATCGATTTGCCTATTGAGTCCGTCAGTCTGAGCCTTCAGGACTTGATTGGCTACTTTCACCCCCCTGATGAACATTTGGAGCATGAAGACAAACAAAACAGGCTCCGAGCACTAAAGAATCGCCAGAACCTCTTCCAGGAAGAGGTATTTCTCTCAGTTTTACTCCTGATTTTCCACCATGTTGTCTGCAAGTATTCTTTGGCAGTGTTTGTAGTGTCTATGTCTAATCTGGAGTATGTTTGTAGTGGGCTTTTTGTCCTGCAAGAGTCAAAACTCTTTGCTACATTTATAATCTCTGTAGATCTGTTGATTTTCCCGTGTTTTTAAAGAAATACATTTAAAGCCTTACTTCCTTTTCCTTTTTAAAAATAATTAGATATTAATATGACCTTGTGTCCTGAATTCTAACTATAATTTACTCCTTATGTGTGAATTAATTTTTTCTATTATAGTTTAATCTCTTGATGCAGAAGGATGTTTTGATTTAATAAGAATGCTTTAAATTTTTTTTGTTTGTCTGTTATTTGTCTGGTAGTGATAGTTGCTTATACTCAGATGTCTAAATGCCTCTCCCAAAATAGAGTCTGGAATACTGCTTATTTTTTATTTTATTTTGACCATCCTAAATGGTAAATTTTTATTACAATCAAGGAAAACTTTTCCATTGGGGGTTGCTTGTTTGACTCCACCTGTCTGACTCCACGTATATATTCTTGTGGTTTGCGTATCCTGCCTATCATATTTTATTTTCTTAGATTTCTGAAAATCTTATGTGTTTGCACCTGAACAATACTTTCTCCTTTTCTCTGACAATCTGAATCTTTCCATTTTTAGGGTATGATCAACCTTGTTCTTGAATGTATTGATCGCCTGAATGTATACAGCAGTGCAGCTCATTTTGCAGATGTAGCTGGGAAGGAAGCTGGAGAAGCATGGAAATCTATTCTGAATTCTTTGTATGAATTACTAGGTAAGACATATTATGGCTTACTTCGATTGTTTTAGCTCATAGTAATACTCAAGTGAAAAGAAACACATACCTGGTTTAGTATAGAATATCCACTGTGTGGAAATTTAAACAAGCTTTCTGCATTTCCAGGTCTTTGCCTGTGCTTAAGAAGAAAATATACTGAAAACACTCAAATAATGTGATTTTTGTAATAATATTTATTATGGCAAATAAGGTGTTTCTAACTTCAATTAAACGTCTGATTGCTTTTTCATATAATATTCCTAATGTATTTCGTATACTGCTAAAAAATGTGTGAACAAAATATACGTGAATCTGTCATTCGCATGTTAAGGACCCATAACATTGTGGTCAGTTTTGTAGAAGTCTATGATTTTTCGCACATCTGACTGCAGAACTGCAGAATAAATCTAAAGCTTCTATAACCAAGACCCCTCTTACTAGTCAGTAAATACCAGTGATTCCAACATTATACTAGGATACAGTGTGCTGTGGAAAAAATACACTCTTATATGCAGTATATCATGAATATCTTGCCCAGCTGCAGTCACTGGAAAATCTCGTAATACCTTCTGTAGGTATCTAAGTGTTGGTGTCTTGGTCAAATTTCTATTTAGGTAGTAGCATTTAATCACCTGATTTGTTTGTTACCAATTTGAATTGCATATGTTATTTATGTTCTACCATGACTCATTATATAGGGTTATTAATCCTCTACTATAGCTGCCTTCATATTTTTCTGCTGAGTTGTTAATTGTCTACGAAAGGAAATTTTACTGCCTAAGAGACAATTTTGTCAGTTTCTTGCTCCTCTGTCATCAGGTTTTCTCAGTGCCATAAGTAAGCCTAAATAATAATGTTAACATTGACCTTAAGTGACTGAAGACAGTAATGTGTCTCTGTCATTAGGCAGTCCTCTGTGCAGGCTGCATACATGTGCCTATTATGCTTTCTTTCTGTAACACACCAGCTCTAATATGTGGGCCTGCTTGCCTTTCAACTTGAACATGTTTTGGCAAAAGCTTGAGTTTGGACAAAGTCCTTATGCAGGATTGTTTTCTTACTTTCCAGTGAAACATAAAGCATTTTATGTATCATTTTTACTCCTGAGAAATTTGTTATTGAAAAGGTATACAAGTAATGTACTGCGTATGGTACACAGCCCTTGATAAAACCAATGAGATGCTTCTATCTGACCCATTACCTTTTCTGTCAGAGGCAGAAGAAGCTGACACAGTAAATATCATTGAGACAGCCAGAAACCTTCTCCCGTCATCTCTCAGAGCAAAGAATGAGGTAGCTGAACAGTGGCTGCTGTCACCTAACCGCAGGCCGTTAGGGTAGAAGGTGGTTCCTGTGGTTGTGATTCTGGTTGAGGAGCTGCTGAGATCTACCACCTCTATGTAGTTGAAGATTTTAGCATGATGCATACCCACAGGTTGCAATGGTGACCAAAAGTGGCATTTCCTAACATTAGGTTGGTAGATTTCATGAACATGATAAGATAATTTTAATGTTTTTTGTTTTGACTTCCATGGGTTTTAGTCGGAAGCTAAATATACCCTCTATACATCTCTCTCCAGTTGTGTAACTTGCAGCATAGTGATAAGTGAGTCAGACAGCATGTGGGTCAAAAGCAGGACTGAAACTTCAGATACATCAGACTGCTTTGATTTCAGCTAAGAGTAATTTATAACAATGGTACAATGTTGTCCTTTGTATTGTAATTCTACGTGAAGAACTGTTTCAGAGGTAGCTGGGAGTTTTTGCTAGTGGATTTATGATATTTGATGATTGAGAAATTTTATGACTTGGCAACATGAATTATATTGTAGTTTCTTGAGTCGAGTGCCCAGATCCTTCTCCACTCCCCCCCTCCC